TACACTGAGGAGGAAAGTTGACATTCCCCTACACACCCGTCAGCTGTTACAAGTTAACTTCCCTCACAACTAGTTCACAATTTACAAGCAAGAGCTTAAACTAAAATCTCTTTAATAGATGTTGCACACAGGTTTTGTCACTATATCGAGAAAATCTGGCAAGTTTGAGAGTCAGTAGATAGAGAAAGAAGTTTTCCATTGAGCTATGCAGTATAAAACTGTTCTTTTGTGGTTTCTCCACTAATTTCTTCAATGCTGCTAAGTGAAAATTGTGGCAGTAGCAAATATTCAATTGACTGCTATAATTCATAGAAGCTTTATGTTCTCATTTGGGAAAATAGCTTAGAACTGCCTTTTAAGAAGTAGTGGATGTGTGACTGACTTGGAGGAATCAACCTCATACTTAGACCTGTGTTGATTTACTGCTGCGTTTTATGGTTTAAATCTGGCCACGGTTGTGTGCAAAGAAATGGAAGCCTCTGTTTATCTCTTAAGTGTGCTTTCGTGGCATGTTACATGACATTTTGTAGTTATGGATTCTTCCCGCTTACATAAAGCACAGTTAAATGTATCCATTGTCTTCAAGATGAACTTGCCAATAGCAAAAGGAAATAGTTTTTATTTAGAATATTACTGAGATCATTTAAGAGAACATACCAAAATGCAAATTTGTAGTTTTCTATCTGGTCCTCACGTTGCATCCCTAGAACTGAGCCCTATCCCAGATGCACATTACCGTTGCCTGCTTTGTTGGCATTACCGTATTTTAGGGTCGCTTGGGCATACAGCCTAGAAAGGTTGCCAGTAGGGGTGCACTGAGATTTTGGGGGCCAATACCGATAGCCGATTTTTAAGGAGGCATATTGGCCGATACCAGTCGGATTTCCAGTACAGCTGCGTGCAGCTGGTAAGTCTTGTGGTGGATGGGGAGGGGGGAGGGAAGGGCATGGTTGGGGGCAGATCAAGGTCCCTGCGGTAAGGGAGGGAGTGGGGCAGGGGCTGGGACTGGGGCAGGCACTGCCTGGATGGGGTGGGGCACGGGAGGAGCCACAACTCGTTCAGGGTGGTGTCCCCCGCCGCTGCATGCACCCTGGGAGGGCATGGGGGGCAGGGGGAGGGCGTGTGCCCACGATGGGGGCTACAGCTGCGGGCCAGGGCCAGGCTGGGCTCTTCCCAGCATGCGTGTGGTGGGGGGAGGGTCAGGCCAGGGCTCTGCTTGGAGCAGGCGACAGCGGCGCTAGGAAAGGGGCTATGGGGAGGGCTGCAGCCACCACAAATTTCGCCATAGCACCCCCCCCCGGCGTCCTCCCAGCGCTGCCACCACCTGCCCCAAGCGCAGCCCCCATGTGCCGGGGACGCGGCCCTGGAGCCCCAAATGCAGCCCCCACACGCCGGAAAGAGTCCAGTGCAGCCCACCCCCATGCAGATATGGGTGTACACCCCCATGTCCTCCTGGGGTGCACACAGCGGTGGGAGCTGCCCCTGCCCCACGCTTCCCAGACGAGCCACGGCTCTTTCCTGCACCCCTCCCCACCCCGACTGGGCAGCCCCTGCCCCCTCCCTACCTCACTGCAGGGGGCATTGATCTGCCCCCCTCACACATCCCTTCCCTCCCCACTCACCTTCCACCACAACAGACTTACCAGCTGCATGCAGCTATCCACACTGCTGGGCGGGCTGTGCTCCTCGCTGCCTACGTGCTGTGCTGTGGCTGCGCACATGCATGGGCATTTATCAGCGAAATTATCAGCCGCATCAGGCTGATTTCTGATGCAATCAATTTTCTTTATATTGGTGCTGATCCGATATTGGACCAATGTATCTGTGCACCTCTAGTTGCCAGTCTCTGTTTTATCTGAAGTTTCCTCTGCTCTTCGATTTCTCTTCATTCATGAGGTAAATTTTTCAGACTGGAGTTGTTTCATGTGTAGCACACTTCTGGAGATGGCAAGTTATTTGCCAGAGTGTTTGCTTTCTCTTTCACAGCTCTTGGCTTGTAGTACCATACCACACAGTCTTTCCTTTTACCACAACCTCTAATGGGAAGGGGAAAGAGAACAGGTCTGCATTCTCTTCCCTCATTCTCCCCTCAAGGCACAGGATGAGGCACACTCATGGCACTTACTCTGTTTGATTATACTTAGCATGCTTAATGTGCTCCCAGTTGCCACCAAACCCTTTGGCCCTATATTCCTTTTCTAGGCATTTTCTTTATAGCATAAAAAAATGTGTACGTGTCCCCCATTTGTTTGTTTATCTATTTATTAACACAGCCACGTAGCTATATCCAAACCATGCATATGGAGCCATGTCAGTGCTTCTCAACTAGGTGTTACTACCTCCAGGTAAAAATTGTGCATGACTGCTACACAGGCAGCTATGATAGGTACGTGCACACACTGTCCTCCTTTAGGGCTAATTTGATGATAGCTGTTGGTGTCGCACCCACTCTCACCCCTTGCTTTAGTAGGTTGCAAGATACTGAACAGCAGCACTACACATCGTTTCAATTATCATACTTTTTTCTTTGCCTCCTTTTAATATGATTTTTACTAGTTATATCATTAGAGCTAGAACTCTAGATTTACTATTTTGTCTAAAGGATTGGAATTTCAGATTTTAGGAGGTGTCAGACATGAATTTCTTATTCGAGTGCCACTAAATTCCACATTAGTAAAGGAAAAATGGTAATTTGTTTTACAATGATGAGTAACTTTTAGGCCTGACTGTCAAAATTACAAGGTCTAGGAACCCTTCATAGGACCAGTACTAGTATGTTTAGGTATAGTAAACTTTGCAAGGAATTGGCCGTGACTAGCAAAGGAGATTTTTTATCTGTCCCTAAATGATAAAACTAAAGAGAATGTGCATTTTTGTGCGAGTAGTAGCAGATTTTTAAATACTAGTGCTATGGAGGAATTTTTCTAAGGCATGAATAGGAAGTATATACTCAATTCCTATCTGTGCTCCATTTTTTTTAAATAAAAAGGCAGGTATTTTTTTCTGGAATTAAATATCTTCATTTTTTCTGTTAAATGAACCTTAAGCTGTTGGTTTTCATAAGGAGGTATAATCTATCTATTTTCTGACTTAAATGATCAAATCTAAAATTTTAACAATTTAGATTTTAAATTTTAAAACTTTTAAATTTTTTAATGGACACTATGAAGAAGGCAGCTACAGAAACAGCTATAGCATTGAATTCGTGATATTCTAGTTATATGTTTTTTTCTCTTAACCTAGTAGCAGCACAACTCTAATATATACATAATAAAAGAGTAGCTTTTTTTCTTTAATATGGCTTATGTATAGGAAATGTGATAAACGGGTAGAAAACTTGTTAGGAATGCTTCCTTGCCAAGCCAGTGTTTTTTTGCGGGCTACAATACAGATACTGGGAGCTGACATTTAGTTTTAGGGAAGTACCTGCCCACTTCTGTCAATTCTCCCTTCAAGAAAACAACTGGAAAAAAATAATTATTTTTATGAAATGTTTTTGTTCCAGTTCCATAAGGTCATTGCAGCTTTCATTGTTATAAGGAAAAGTTGATGAAAGTATCAACTTTTCCTGAACTGTGTGTCAGTTCCCTGGAATGTGTAGCTCAGCACCTGGCTCTACAAGCAAAAGTCTGCATCTGAAGGACAGACATTAAGTTAGAAAAGACTGTCCTTATCCCACTGAGATTTTTGTCAGCCCTTTTTATTGAAAAAAAAAATCCTAAATTAAGCATCCTGTTTTTCTTCATAACTAAGTTTTTAATCACTCTGGATTGATTTGTTTTTATAGGAGTATTAAATGCAAGCAAAAAAGTTGGTAAAAAAATATGGCAGTGGGATCTGACTTTTTTGGCAGGTGCCAAAAAGCTCTACATTCTCTCCAGGTGCTACTCTGAAGCCCCTTCCTCTGCTTTCTACAGCTGTGCTTCCTAACCCATCTACAGCTGTGCCACACACACAAGCTTTCCAGGGGGACTACAGTACTCTTCCTCTGAATCCCAATCCTGTTTTCTGTCTCAAGTCTTGATTTAGGGGTGAATTTAAATTGTATTTTTCTGAATTGGAATTTATCTTCCTGATTTTTCTGGCAGGAGTAGGGCAAGCTTTGATGCTTCCTGATATAAATGAAAGCCTTTAAAATGTATTAAAGTAGTGGTGTTTATAGGTATCTAAATACTAGGGGAGCACCGATAAAGATTTTTTTGGCCGATACCAATGGCCAATTATTAACCAGCCATATCAGCTGATACCAATCCAATAGCCGATATGCAGCCTGGCAGCTTGGAGAGTAGCATCTGGCCAGTAAGTCTGTGGGAAGGAAAGGACATGGGGTGTCAGGTTGAGGCCCCCTATGGTGAGGGAGGGAGTGGGACAGGCAGACGCTGCCCAGCCAGAGTGGGGCAGGGCATGGGATGGAGTCATGGGCAACTCATCTGGGGGGGGGCAGGGAAGAGGGGCAGCTTCTTACTGCTGCGCACACCTCTGGGGGAGGTATGGGGGCATGTACCCCCCAGATTTGTGCATGGGGTGAGGGCATGCTGCAGGCTTGGGGTCAGGGTCTGGGCCAGGGCTGCACTTGGGGTGGGTGGGGGTGGTGCAAGTAGCAGCAGCACTGGGAGAGAGGGTGACGGCAAATTTTGGCCTGGCTGTCGCCCACCCGTAGCTCCCCCATTCAGCACTGTCCCCACCTGCCTTGAGCACAGCCCCACCCCCTCCAGGAACAGGCCAGCACAGCCTCTGGCCCCAAGCCCACACCAGGCAGCCTGCCCTCACCCTGCCCACCAATGCCTCCCCCAGAGGTGCATGCAGCGGTGGGAGGGAGCCCCACCCCACACTCCCTGGACAAGTCTTCCATGGCTCCATCCTGCACCCTGCCCAGCCCTGGCTGGACAGCACCTGCCTCACTCCCTCCCTCCACATGGGGGCCTTGATCTGCCCCCTATGCCCCTTCCCCCACAGACTTACTGGTGGACACTGCTCTCCATGTTACCCAGCTGCATTCCTGGCCACGTGCATGCTGCAGCTGCGCACATGCACACGGCATTTATCAGTGATGTTATTGGCTACACCGGCCAAAAAGATCCAATTACCAATAATGTTAATTTTCCTTTTATTGGTGCCAATCCAATATGGACCAATATCTCTGCTAAATGCTGCTGGTGCACAGCTGTTCTTTCCATTTGATGCTAAGGTTCTAATTTAAAACTAAATTTTGGTGTTTTATATATTTGAAATCTCACTGACTTTTGGGGTGACGTAGATTTCAACAGATAAGTAGAGGACAGAATTTCACATTGACAAATATTGTAAACTGATGTGTTAATATGAGAGGTTATTTAAATTCCTTTGGTTTGATGAAGATTGTCATGTGTGTCAAAGCATCTACTCACTGCTGCAGAGTTTGTTCTGAAATGTAGTGTGGAAATATTGTTAAACCTTAAAAGATTAAAAAGTTTTGAGGTCCTTGTTTTAAGACGCCTATGCTCTGTCCTGTGTTTGAAAAAACTGATATTTTCCATGTTTCAGGGGTTTTGGCTATAGCCGTGTTGGTCTAAGGGCATAGGCAGACAAGGCTCTTTGGGTAAATGTGATATCTTTTATTAGACCAGATAGTTGGTCTAATAAAAGATACCACATTTACCCAAAGAGCCTTGTCTGAAAAAAAAATCCCACATTTACTCAGGGGAACCTTTTATTTTTGGCCAATAGTGATGGCTTACTCGTTTTCTTTTTGCATCCTCTAAAACTGCAATGATCAACTTTGCATATGTTTAAATTTTTTATCAGTAAAGATGAGTTAATAAACATTCATTTTGGACTGACGATGATGTAATGCTAGCTACTTTGTGAACAAAATGCATTATGTTTTGTAGCTGGCAGGGAAATACAATATGCAAATTCTTTATAGCATGATTTGTTTAGGGCTCCAGGCAAAAACAGTGGATCTCTTCAGGTATTGAAGAACTAACTATTCATTTTCCTGGTTCTGTTTCTTTTGCTTTCTTCTTGATCAAAAGGTTTAGCAACCTTTTTAATTTTGGGAAAATAATGCTTTTCAAGAAGAATGTCTTCAACAGATTGGAATACATTATAATGTCATTTATTATGGCGATAGTAAAACAGCATAAAATTCTATGTGGCACAGAGTAGCAAAAAGCATGACACTTGTAACGCTTTACATTGTTATCAGTATCTGTTCTGTTTTAATAGCAATTTCACATCAGAGAACATTTGCTGTGTCAACATCTTGTTTAAATACAGTAGGGTTTGTTCAGTTTGTTAAACATTAGTTTACCTGGGGACGCTGCTTAAATCAAGATTCTGATAGGCCTGCTGACCCTGATGTCAGTCTTGGCTCAGCTCCCAAAGGTGCACAAATGGGATCTGTTTTGTTACCAGGTAAATGAAAACTCCTGAGAGATTGTGATGGGTTTTGTTGTGGACGAGAGAGTTTTTGAGGACAACAAAATATTTCCTCATCTTAATTTTAAAGACTTTCCATTACCAACCAAACTGTATAACCCCTTTCAAGATGTTTTATCTAGTAGCTGGGGATTTTTTGAGTGGTTAATCTTATTTCAAGGAGAATCTTAAATCAGCTTTTTAGAGGCTGCTTCAAGAATTAGGAGCTGATAAGAGAAAGTAGGAATTTTGATCTGTCCTTTTAGCTTTAAAAATAATGAGGCCCTTAAGCAGCAGGAGGGAAAAGGACTCATTTAATCCAAGGAAACATTGTTTTTCTTTGTAATGATTTTCTATACTTAAATTTTTCTTTTTGTTTTATAGGGAAACCTACTGAAGGGATTTATAAAGCCCCCTAATGTGTAACGTAAGAAAATACATTCTGACATGTGAAGTGGTAACAGCGGTATATGTTATGCACACCAAGTGGCCTACAGCTTAGCATCCTTAGCTCATACTTTGACTGATGCTGGGAGCTCAAAGGCAAAGTATACTTTGTCTGCCCTAGACTCAAGACCTCTCTTGAGCCATGAGTGTCTCTTGTTTAACTGTTTCCAGCATTAAACAAAAATGTGCAGCTGTTGCAGCTGATGAGGTGACTGTATACATAGTACAACTATATTCTTTCTAATGCTCTTTATTTGGCACATTAGAAACATGAAATATGAAAACATGATAGACACTAGCTTGGGCAAAACAGCTGCAGTAGATTCCAGTGTGTATTCCAGTTGATGAAAAGTTTAGTCAACCTGCAGTGTAGCCACCAACAAAAAGGTATATACATTGACAAAATGTGATTGCTTCCAAACATGAGAGAGAAATATAGGCTTCACTGCATATGCATATCTTCATCACCAGTGTAAATTTAAATAGGTATGCTCTATAGCAGGCTTGTCCAACATGCGGCCCACCAAGGCATTTTCTGTGGCCTGCAGTGCTGTGATGGGAAACGAAAGTAAACACCGTTTACTTTTGTTCCCACCCCTTGTCCCTCCCCCTGCCCCTCAGCAGCTTCCTAATGGCTGCTGAAGGGCTGGGGAAGGGACAAGGTTCCCACACACACCGCGTCAGCTTGACATTGCCGACACAGTGTGTGTGGGAAGAGGAATAGCCATGTGCCTCTTGGGACAGGATGAGCCCAGCCGGAGCAGCAGGGGCTCAGCTACACTTTCCCCTACCTGCGCCGGTCAGTCACGAACAGCACACGGCTCCACTGCCGCCTCTGCTGGCTGGTGCCAACCCGGGCGGGTCGGTCCCATCCTGAGCAGCATGCAGCCGAAGCCAGATTCCCACGTGCTGCTGGGGACGGGAGGAGGTGGCCAGGCACCACAGTGAGCGGGGCCATGCGGGCAGGCGGGTGAGGGGCTGCAGTGCAGCAACCGCCTTGCTCCAGCCCCCCTCAGGCAGTGCCAGCTTGTGGGGCTGCACTGCTCAGGGGATGGAGATGTGGAGCTATTTATTTCTCCCCTTCAGTCTCTGGGGCAGTAGCTGGCTGGATGCAGAATGGGTCCCTCCTGCCCCTGCTCACCAGCAGCTACCATGAACCTTGCAGTAAAAGGCAGGTGCAGTAGGGCTACACAGGCAGGGTTTCTCTGGCCCAGGACAGAGGGTGTTTGAATATGGCTTACCAGCCCACTGGGTGATAAAAAGTTCATGATCCGGCCCCACATTCAAAAAGGTTGGACACCCCTGCTCTATAGTTTCCTTTCAAGAGACTATGATGATGGAGTGTTACTAAATTATTAACTGTTACACTTCAGTATTTTGGACATAATTCATTTTGTTACCAAAGCTTTTTCTGGAAACTCATTGTAGTTGTCTTTCTTTTTTTCAGTATTGGATGAATGAATATACCTCTTCCCTTGGCATTGGAGTCTTCCATTCAGGAATAGAGGTGTACGGTAGAGGTATGTATGTGTAGGAAACTTAGATATACTCTATCTTAATTATTCTTTATCTCTACTGAAAAGCATTCTTCATGTGTGTCATCAATGGGAGGGGAAATTCTCTCTGCCTCTTGTTTACCATTTTTATGTTCTTACCCTGAATCAGACTTAAATGTCAGTCATATCAGTATAATCACCTCAATCAGCTTTGGTAGTTCCTATTTGGGTTTCTATATATTGCTTCTTGTTGAGGCTAGTACAGTCATACATTTCCTTCAGTCTCCCACCAGCATTAGACATTTTTCACATTTAGTGTGAATGGTAGAATTGCACTTCTGTTCAAGATCACCTAAGATTACAGGCAAGAATATGTTAGGAATTGAAATGTGTGTGTCAGTTTCTAATGGTGCTCTCTTTTTTGGATCCCAGTTAATAAGTTTGTATTTGATGGTATAACCTTTAAAAAGATGCTTTGCTTTCTGCATAAGTACATTTACAAAAATGTCCAAATTCCCCCTCTTTTGAAGATGGCACCTAAAGATTTTTGCTAAACAGGGAATAGTCCAATGTGATGCATGTCCTTAAAAGAACCAAACTGGTGTGCTTTTAAAAGTAACCCCTAAAACATTTTTACTTTAATCTTCTCCTACTACATTAAAACAGCTTTAGAATAGATGTATAATTTCCAGTGCATATTGTCCAAAGTAAAATGATAGATGTTACTAGGGTGTGGACATATGACCACCTCAGGAGTGTTAAAATTGGAGCAGTGCATTTGAATAATTCTCAGCTTGTTCACATACAACAATTAGAACTTGCCAGCTGCTGCCCTATTGAAAGGTTCTCCTGAAAGGGCTCCAGGAGTTTGTGTCCATGCCCTTAGTGAAACTGTTTCATTTTTGATAGTTTCGGGTAATCCAATTAAAATTTTGAATAACACATGAAAAATTAATTACCATACAAGTTTGAAGAGTTGATGGAAGATACAATACTGTATCTACTCATATCTAAGAAAAGGATTGTACTGTCAGGTACAGTAGGGCAGGCAGCAGGGGAGAGGCACAGAGGAGCAGGTGGCAGGTGCCTGGGGGGGGAGGTACAGACACAGAAGAACAAGGGGCGTAGGGGCTCTGGCCCCTCAACCCCACCCTCCCACTCCTGGGGGTGGGGGACGAATTTAAGACTACCTTCCACTAATTAGATTCTGTATATTGAAAGTTGTAACACATTTATAATTTTCCATGTATACAATCTCTAATTATTTGGGGTTATCTTAAATTTGAAGTTATCTTGGATTCGGGTAAATATGGTACTTCTTACAACTTAATGCCCTAGTTCAGACACACCCCACGTTACTAAAAAATTATCCTGGTTAGATACTTGGCTACCCATAATCAACATACAGAGCAGCATCACAGGGTACGTTTTCAGGAGCAAGCCCAAAAATGAATTCAAAGAGTGCTGTTTGTAAGTTAGTTTTTTAAATTGTTCATCAAGATGTTATACCTGTCCTGGATAGACCAAGTCTTGTTTAACATGTTAGCTGGTTGTAGTCAGCCCTAGGCTAGGACGTAATACGAGTTTGAGTGGTTTTTATTTCCCCCACAGCATAATGCAAAGCTTTATGTAGTGGGTGTGGCATGCATACTCATCTCAAAGATACAAAAGGGAGTTTCATGTAAAGATGTGGAATCTTGAAGTGTGTGGTTGTTGTTTGCCTTAATTATCTATGTTCATGCCAGCAGATAATATGTTCAGCCTTTGGATTTGTTCGGGGGGGGTGGGGTTTAAGCATAGAAAAAGGAAATTAAATATTGCAGTAAGACAAAGAAACAAAGCCCACAAATGAAGAATTTCAAAAGCCTTGCCTGCTACAGTAATAGCAAATGCCACGTGACTTTTTTTTTGTATACATTGCATATTAAAGCATGGATCATTTGAGTCCTCAGTTCTGCACGTGTTTAAAATTGAAGCATTTGTACAAGCATTGATGAGGTTGGGAAATCATTTCTTTTGCATGTCATGTTTTGTATAGTGGTACAAGTTTAATATGAGCAAATTAATATTGATATAGAAAGCGTGTTTTGTGGAAGTTCTCATTTTCTTTCCTTAGTCAAAATTGTCTACTTAAGCATTCACTGATAGCACTTTGTTTTAGTTCTTACAAGTAGAATGTGTGGTTCCCCGCTTACGATCCTAATGGCAAGTGGAAATTGCCCATTCATTAGTTTAACGCTACACATCTGGACTTGTGCTGCTATTATTAAATCCTGTATTTTCTCTTTCAGAATTTGCTTATGGTGGTCATCCTTACCCTTTTTCTGGCATATTTGAAATTTCTCCAGGAAATGCTGCTGAACTAGGAGAAACATTTAAATTTAAGTAAGGAAGATATTGTCCTCATGATTTTGACTAATATACTTTGTCTTGTACTAACTCTTAAGGTTTAGACAGATATAATAAAACCCCTGGATTTCAGACCATCTGGGTTGTTCTCAGCTTCTATCAGGGTCATGGAAGACAAGTAGGGACGACAGTTGCAAGACTCTGGGGAAAAAATACAGTCCCCTTGTCATACACCCAAACTTTTTAAGGTTAACTATTCTGTTAGCCTCTTAAAACATACAATTAAATATACTTATTTTTGTTATCCATGAATAACTTTTCCCTTTCAGAGTAAATGTAAGGAAATTGTGGATAACTTTTACTTTGAATAAATGGTCACCAAGCTGAAAAGTTGAGAAATTCTACCCTTAGGGGCTTCTTGCATTTCTTCTTCATTGCTCTGTGTTCTTTCTCCAACACAAGGCCTTGTTACTATGTCTGAGCTGTCTCCTAGGAGACAAATTGGCGTCAAAAATTGCATCCACCCTAAAAAAAAGCTGAGTAGCAAAGACTGCTGTTCCATTTGATGAAGTAAGTTAGAGGATAATTGTGTGTGGAAGATGTAAGACTAGAACTTGCATGGGTGGATTAGAAAGAGAGAGAAGATAAAGAGAATAGAGTGGAAACCATACCAAACTGTTAATGATGTAGAGTGTCTTAGTGCACATAAGCAATAGAAGAGTAGCTTCTCTGTGTCATAGATCATTTGTGCCCAACCTTTTCGCCCTGCAAGCCAGATGGACAGTGCCAGGTCCATCCAGAGGCCGGATCCAGCCAGTAGGCTTGATCTGGTATGTGGGGTGGTGTGGCAGGGGCCCCATCTAGCCATAGAGGGGTGGGTGGAGGGTGTGCAGCCTGATCCTGATTTGCCTCCTGGTGAGGGGGAGCAGGGAGTGGCCTGACCCTGATCCAGATGGAGGAGAGGGTAGCCTGGCCCCAATCAGGATACACTGCAAGGGGCAGGGAGGGTGAGACGCAAATTATTCCAGCCCTAACCCCAATGCAGACTTGAAGGGCTAGGGGGACAGAGGGAGCAGCCTAGCCCTACTGGATGCATAGGGAGAAGGCATGGTGCTGATCCTGCTATGTGGTAGTGGGCCAAGCTTGGCTGGATCCAGCCACACATTGCTTTCGCTACTCTCCCAGTACCAAATTTTCCAACCCGTGGGTAACCCTGCAGGCCAGACGCCATGGATCTGTGGGCTGGATTTGGCCCATGGGCTGGAGGTTGAGCACCTGCCATAAGAATTGTCATCTTCTGATATCTTCGTTTGTTTTTAGAGAAGCAGTAGTTCTAGGCAGTACCGACTTCATGGAAGATGACATAGAAAAAATTGTGGATGAGCTTGGGAAAGAATTTAAAGGAAATGCCTACCATTTAATGCACAAAAACTGCAATCACTTTTCTTCAGCTTTATCTGAGGTAAACAAATGTGGACTTTAGCTTTTCTGTAAAACTGAATAGATGGACAGCATTTTCCTGTCCTGCCGATTGTGTATATTTTATTTTTTGCTTTATATTTTTCTGATACTTTAAGTAAGCGCGTTGATTCTTGCTTAGCAATTAGGGTTGTATCCAAAACTAGACTTTGGTGACCAACAGAACTCTATAAATTAATGTTGTTAACATACTCCCCACATGGCTCTTTTCTTCTTAAAAGTAAGACAAAGCTCCTGTGGTGGAGACTGCCTACCTGACTGTTATGCAACTTTACAACACATGTTGGGGTGCTGTGCTTTGTCTTGTGCGGAGCTCATTGATGAAAATAGAACAGACCTCTCTTTAAGTGAATTCTCAAACATGCAAAATCCAATTTAAATAGTTTCACAGTTTACTAGTAATCTCTGTTCCAGAATAACAAACCGTTTGGAATCTACTTGTACAAATGATCTTGAATCTAATTCTGTAATATCAGTTGGCCACTTGTAAGCAAGACCTAAGCCATTATCCTCTCTATGGCAGTCTTCTTGCTTTAAACAAGTTTTGTAAATCCACTTCAATAGAGTAGTTTCTTGTTTCTCTCCCCCCACACCGTACATATAAGCACAGTTGTTGCACAGAGACCAGAGCTGGGACGGTTTCTGGAATCTTACTCTAAAATAATTTGTTTCCGCTGTTTCATAATGCCTTTTAATGATATTTAAATTAACACTTAGCTTTTATTAGAAGTAAAATATTTATCTTCAAAAAAGAGTATTTATTCAATGTGAACCTTCATGGAACTTTTTATTACTGACTTTATTTATTAAAAAGTGGGGGAGGGAGTCAGGGGAAGAAACAGGAATTCTGCCATTTATTTCCAAAGGCCAAGAATACCATACAGTTCTCTTAAGTGATGATAATATTTCTTTTGCATTCTTGTCCCAGTCAGTGCTGTGAATAAGGCAGATACTTAATAGAAATCAGGATTTAATTGCTGAGAATATAATGCTAGTTAGTTAACAGTGTAAATGAAGACAAATCTCCTGATAGCAATTCACTTCCTTCTGATTTTACATTAAACTAAGCAAAACCAGAATTGGACAGTCAAGACAATGTGCAGTGAGTAAAACAGGAATCTGTCATTGAAAGCAAAAGTAAAAATTTATTAAATTTACAATAAAATGCATATTCAGTGTAACATAGTTGGCAGCAGCTATGTGCTTTCTTATGAAATGCTACCATTCACACTAAATATGGAAGATGTACAATTTTTTAATGTATTAGAACATTTAGGCATCTGCCTCTTGTACTGTGAAATATTTAGTCTGCAGTGAATGAGGCAATGCATGATCATGGCTTTAAATGATAGGATGATCACTCTGCCCAGCTGCATTTGTTCTCGAGTATTTTGTTTGGTGAACTCAGCATGGTTTTATGTATTGTCTACTTGAAGCAAGCTTTTTCTCCTTCAGTTTCTGCTTTAAAGAGATAACAGCTCATGAGGAATTGTGTATACCATCTTGTCATTTTAGTGCTTTTTTATTTGGATCCCCTCCCTCTTTTTGTCTTTGGGTAGATTGGGTGATGGTTGGGTCGATTGGATTTGCTTGAATGCTTGTCCAACCTTGCAGACTCGTAACTGCTTTCTTTCTAAGCAATATGCAAGTCTCAGGAACATTAAGTAAATGCGTTGGTTCTTGCTCAGGAACATTATTGTCAATAATAGTTGTCTTAAAACACACTTATTTTCTTTAACATGTGTAGTTTTGTTGACCATGGCATAAACCAGGGGTCAGCAGTTCATGGTCTGGGAAGCTGAGGTGTTGGCAGTGGAGGACTTTGCCTGTGCCACACCTCAGTAAGGTGGGAAGGATTTGGCAGCAGGGGGGTTTTGCCCATGCCATGCTGCAGCTGGGTGGTAGTGGCAGATATGCCAGAGAAATGGCAGATGTGGCCAGGTCCTAGTGTCAGCCTACTTTGCACCTGAGCAGAGTCATTCTAGCCCACCACCAGAAAGCGCTGCCGACTGCTGGCTAAGCCATTAGCATACTGTAATTAGGATATTCCAGATTTCGGTTTTCTGTACAGCAGTCTGTCTACTTCAGTCTGTTAGTAATTAATTTATAATGTGAATACCAATATTATTTCTTCCCAGATTTTATGTGGGAAAGAGATTCCACGGTGGGTGAATCGCCTTGCCTACTTCAGCTCTTGTATACCATTTCTCCAAAGCTGCCTGCCGAAGGAATGGCTGACTCCTGCAGCACTGCAATCTAGTGTAAGCCAGGAGCTGGAGGATGATCTGGAGGAAGCAGAGGATGCAGCAGCATCAGCTGTCCTGTCGAGCTCAGCATCTGGGTCTAGAACTGGACGTCATGCCAGACCATAAATCTTTCCTCAAAGTAACAGATGGGTCAAAACATTTCTGTTTTAATATCTCCAGCACCTGACGTCGTTACAGAACATCAGAGAGCTGATTCTAAACATTCCTTTTGTATGCAAAAATGGCTCTCTCCAATTCTTGTTATTTCAGCTCAGGATTATATAATGCAGTGAAAAGAATCGCTGGGAGAAAGGGGAAGGATCTTGTGTGAAGCCACCCTTTTCATTTTCACCTAGTTGTCAAAAATTGGATTTACATAGCAGATCTTATATAAAGCAAAACTTAAGTTATTTGTTTACAGTATTGTGTACTGCTGTTTACAAGTCCAGTATGGACTCCTGCCACCATGAAAGAAGAGAAATTCAGAGCTCAGTTCATCCCTGGTGTAACCCAAATCCAAAGCAGTGGAGTCATGCTGGGGATAAATTTTGCCTGAAGTCTTCATGATTTAGGCAGGCAAACTTTCAACTTCTGATGGTTGCCAGAAATTGCTGAACACTATGTCTGTGAACAGGGTACTATATACTTAAAGGGGCTACAATAAAGAAGTAGAATGTAGGCTATAGGGAGTAACTGAGATGTTACTGAAAGTATGACCTCTATGTTAACTAAGTTGTAGATTTTTGCACATATGGAAGGAAGTTTATATTTCATTACGTGATGCATTTACCCCTGCACACTCATTTCTTAGTTTTAATAGATGCTACACCTTCTTCCTCCATTAAATCTTGTTTGAAGCAGGCATATAGAAAGTCATTTTGGTTTGAACAAACTCATTAAATTGCACTGCTTAGTTTATTTAACTTTATCTCAATTAAGCAAGTTGATACTTTGAGTTGCTTTATAGATTCCCTTTCTTTCATTTATGTACCATTGAAACAATGTAATACAAGACTTGCTTAGGGGTTGGGAAAGGCAATACTCCTTGTATTCACAGTTCTGCTTGAGCTTTTTGTAATAATCCCTACCTCCTGAAAACAAAATGCGAATTCTTGTCCGCAAGATTCTTGTACAACTGCAAAAATATTATAGAGAATATTTGATTTTCTGTATCTCCATCTATGGCATTAACTTGTTTGTCAAATGCAGTGAAGGCAAGAAACATGAAGGTTACATATGCACGTGCATATTTACACAGCAGAACCCCATGAATCTACAAATTATCATTATGCTTCTCAGGCTAGCAGATCCAAGATTTCATTATTTTGGAAACTATGACAGTTTGTTGGTACATGATTGTAATTGGAGAATAATATGAAATGCCTTACTCTTGTACTGTTCACCTACATGTTTTTTAGAATTAAATAGTAACTTTACAACGGCTCTTCTAGCCATCTCCACAGATGTGGTAAGGTTCTGCTGTGCCTATAAAACCATAATAGCACAAACCTGGGCGTGAGCTTCTGATTTTTATAGGATTTGCTGCCTTAAGGATCTTTCAGAGAACTATTTAAAAAAAAAAAAAACCCCTAAAACAACCAGAACACCATTTTTAAAATGAGCAGCTCAGACAGAAATCTGTATTACAAAACTCAAACAATTCTTAAAAAGTTTTATTTGTCTGTTGCTATGTTCACTAAGTGAAATATTTGTGGTTTTAAAATAAGGGTGTTTTAATAACCTAAGAGAAAAATGCTGACTCAGTAGATTCTGCTATCAATCAAGCTCTCAGTTGGTGAGAGGAGATAATGCTGTAGGTTATGAATATCAACCTTAGGCAAGCAGTGCCACTTAAGCTCTCACAAGTGCAGATTAGGCTGTGTTCTCTACACAGCCTCCATGATGGTCCCACTGATTCCTGTCGAAGTTGGTGAAAATGTTGTTGCTGGCTTCCGTAGCAGGTCATTTGGGCCCACTAGTAAACAATTTGCAAACAAACTGTAATTGCTTAACAAAACATTGGGTTTTTCTTTTGAGGTAATGTAGTAAAGTGGAGAGGGGAAAAAGAAGCCAGGTAAAATAGCTTGTTAAATGTGTGTTCAGTTCTAAGAAATCAAACTAGATACCAAATGAGGCTGTTTCTAGGAATAACACAAGGTATTATGACGTCTTACTTAAATGAGTAGTTTCTTGTTACGTATTTACTAAATCTTTGGATAAATAACAAGTGGATATTCGAGATTGCTTATTAAATCTATGGTAATTCCAGTTTCCCTTGGTTGCTAGTTGAAGTGTGCTTAGTCATCAGAAGCAGATGTATTGACTTTCCACACAGATTTATTTTCATAGGAAATTCTGAGTAAAGTTCAGTCTAACTTTCCTCATTGAAAATGAATGTGGTGGTCAGTCATCCAGTCAGTTATCAAAGATAAATGGAAGTAAATTGAATGCTACATACACTTAAGACAATAGCATGTAGATGCTGTTTCTGCCTCAGCTGTAGAACGGAGGTGGTAAAATTACTTAAGCCCCTTGGCCAAGGCAGGTCCTTACTCTTCAGCTCAGGGTTGAGGCCACTGATGAATTTTAAATCTAGCAATGTACTGTAGCTTTTCTTAGGTTTTGGAGAGACACTAGTTTTCATTGCTACCTAACCTTTATGTACCAAAATCAGATTTTTAGGCTTCTGAGCTATCCAGAGTGCTATGTCACAAACCTCTACACTTTCCTAAACAGACGCAACTTACAGCATGTACAATGCAAGAAACAAAATGACAGATCACAGCACAGTTTTTATTTAGAAGTAGTAAAACAAAGAATATTTTTTATAAAGCAGACTGGAAAGTTTGTTACAAACAATGCTCGTTTTATCTGTAGCTGTATAAGTGAAGAAAATGTCTTTATGTTGTGATGTTTATTTCAAGCCATCCATTCATTTATAAAATGTATGAAGGAACTGACTTCTGAACCCTGAAGCCTATTCCCTATTGTATCATGAGGTGATGGTACCATAGCTTATGATGATCACGGGCTGTTAACTCAGTCTCCACTTGATGCCTAAAAGAAACCACCCTGCCAGCGGTTGCTCTCATTTGTTAGCAATAGTGCAAGTTACTTTTCACCAGCATTACTGTCAAGCAGGGGATGACACTTTTAGTCTACTAATGACCACACTGTGCTAGGACTAGACCACTCCAAAATGCTGCGAGAATGCTGGACACTTGAGGAGTTTTTCCATCACAAAACGGGTAGAAAAATAAGTCACTGCTTCAGGGTTCTACTCTGTTTACTTTCTCATCCTTTGATTTTCTGTAAGGTACTACTTTTGATACGTGCTGTATTTTCTTTAATTATGAAAATCTTTATTTATTTAAGATGCCATTTTATTTTGTTCAGCAAGCCAAAACAATCAATATGCTGTCAGTGTGCACCAAGAACTTCAGAATAGTTTGGTAAAAATGCAGTTGGATTAAATTTTAAAACTAGCAATGCAATTCTAATCACAGTTGATACATGGGAATTTTCACTGTTAAAAGTTGGTTACAAGGTGTTCAATCTTCAATGACACATATTTTTGTAAACTTGAATACAAGTTTACTGTAATTCATAGTATTTGTATAAAATTCAAAGAATTTTGACTTTTGTTACCTTGACATGACAACAAGCTATCATGTTCAACTTAAATCCATTGATTTATTAAAAATACTTTTATAAAAGCTGCTTGCTGTTGAAGTATTTTGACTGTATTCCAAATACTTAACTGAGTCACTTTTTTCCCTCTCAGTACTACAGTATTACCTTACTGCTTCTTTGATAGCTTAAAAGAGAAGCATGTTTTATGACTCGGAGAACGGGATAAACACAGGGATAATCTTCACTTTGGATGCAGTGGGCTTGATACTCTAATTTATTTGTAGTAGCTAGTTTAGTGGAAATTAATTTTCAGTTAGAGAAAGCTGTTACCAGTTGGGGCAATGTTAACTTCTTCCAAATAAGGTTTTTAAAACTTTCGGTTGTTTCAGTTTGAAATATGAAGTTTTCTCACTATAGATTAGTGTTGTTGCTATGCAATCAAAATGAGATATTTAAAAAAACCACAAAAACTGGTAACTGGATTTACTCTTTTGGGGACTTACCTATTGATAGAGCAAATTCTATAATAAAGATCAATGCAGTGATAGCAGTGATTCTCACTGTAAATATATTGCACTCGTTATTCTTTCCTTTGTCATAAAAGCCAAGGGAAGGCATCTCCCATTTTACATCTGGAGGGACTTGAAGATAATGGTGGCATTTGTTCACATTTTTCCCCTGTAGAGTGCATGCTTGAGAGGAAGATGCTTTCAGACTTCTAAGGAACAAAAGTCTACTTGCCTAAATATACCATAGGCTTACTGACTATTACTGGTATTTGAATGTGGCATTACCTTGATAGGAGGAACTTTGAAGTTTTCTTCTTTTGAAGAAGGATGTAACACACAGTTACAGAGCACTGTAGACGTGTAACTGGTTGTAACTAAGAGTTGGGCACATGAAACAGACACAGCAGGTAACCAGGAGTATATGGGAATATTTATTTGTCGTGAGTTCTTCCTGTTAGTAAAATAAATTGAACTCTTAACAAAAAATATGTAGCAGCCCTTAATGAGTCCTCCACTAGCAGTTAGTTTCTTCTTTCCTTCTCCCACCCCCAACACCCCCACCTCCTCCATTCAGGCAGTTAATAAATTTGTCTTTATGAATGGGTTTTATTTTACTTGCTTGTGTCCCAGGGGAGATGGATCCAATTAATCAATTATCCCTCTAATTACAAAAATTCACTAGAGCAGGCTGTCACAAAATGAAAATTAAAGCTAACTTGACCAAGTGAAGTGGGTCTTATTTCCAGTGCCACTTTTTTCAATAGACAAGCTGCAGTTCAGACCCTATATGGACAATCACCACAACTTTTAGTAAAACAATATACTTCTTCTCCATTACAGCTTCAAAATGTTAATTTTATCTTATTCTTATGGAAGGGGTGGGTGGGTGTGGATATGAAAGTAAAAAAATAATTGTTTTGGTTACAAGTATGAACTGGAAGAGCAGTCTCATTTTGTCCTCCCATGTCAGGCAAGTGAAGAGAATAGCCTTTATTTCTTCATTGTCATTTCAAAAGATTCTTTTTTGAATGTCTGCTTAACCAGACTATTGTCTCCATTTCTTAACCAGGCAGGACACAGTACCTTTCCTTTACTTCCCTAGCTGTAACTATCAGAACTAATAGAATTGGGTGGGGATAAACGTCTTGAGATTTATGTGGATTTTTCTATTCTGCACCCTAATTCTTTTGCCAAACTTATTATAAGCAATTACCATTTAATTCAGTGGTTTTCTGCACAGTGGGCTGGTGTAGGTCTGGATGATAAGAGTTATGTCACTCAGTACAGCAGAATAGTATGTGCTTTTCTTTAAGCATATAGGAAATGCCAGTGTAATTCCCTCCTAACTCTATTTTTGCTTTATGATTAGCCAAGCTAATTTTCTACTGTACCCTGGAAATGGAGGACCATTATTTGAAGCAGTTGTTCAAAGTAATGCTCTATTGTACCTTGAGAGGCTTAGTTGAAATTTGTCATAGCTAACTCTTCTGACTAAGAGGAATAAGCATCACCTACAACTGCAAGCCTTTATTTATTCATATAAAATCAGGGTTGTTGCCTTTCCCACTGCACTCTCCATGAAAAACTGTGGGTGAACGGTTTGCAGAACATTTCAGTGGCTATAACTCTGCTTTCAGTGTCTTGATCCAAATCTGATTATGGAAAATAACTTCACAAATTCTTCATTTTAACTATCTTGATCCTGATATAATTTTAACTAGCAACCTACAGTATGAGCTGCTAGTATTACTTTTATACATCACAGAACACAGCGGTGTGCTACTATTAACTTTGTTTTTTTTCCTCGTAGGCTGAAGAGAAGCCCTTCACCTAGTACAATTTGACCAACCAGAGACAGCAGATTGATTTACTTAAACTGAGACAGGATCTGAGCAGTAATGAGATTAGAGATTCTGTGCACTGATTCTATTTCTGCTTGCCTCTGAAAGAAAAGATGAGTGCAGTGGGAAGCAATTCTGCATTCAGGAAGGTAAAGTGCTGTGAATTTCACCAGGCACTGCTTGCTGTTTTAATACGTTGAGGCCAAGGACAGTACAAACAATTGAAGTTTTCCTCCTTGTATTTCAAAGGACTTTTTCCATAGCTTCATGTTATAGACGAAATAATTGGTAAGGGGACAACTTCTAACAAATTAATTCGTGTTCCCATAAAAAAATGTAATTTGAGCAATCAGAACCCTCAAGATCTGAGGATAATCTAGTAGTTTTTTATGTCCAATTTGGTTTTTTGTATGGAAGATGATGTGAATTAAACACAAATGGTCAAACAACTGGGTTCTTTTGCGAGCTTTTATGGCTCTTCCAACCATGCGCTATTATATCATCATGCTGGTTTTGGTCCCAAACTGGACACAGCAAACACAAAAACATATCTACTGCCTTTGAAAAACTGTTAAGGTCCCGTGAGTCCATCCAACTTCCACACTAAGCAGGACCAACCTTTCTAGTCAGCAGAATCCGGATTCATTAGAAAAATTGTCAGTAGTTCTACAGCATGTTCCTAGATCAAAAAGGTTTCGTTAAATGTGGTAAATCTTCAGAAAAGCAACTCAGCTACAGAATTGTATCTGAGTCAAGCTACTTGTGGTTCATAATGTAGTTTGCCTAGACAGTAAGCAGCCTCTGTATCAACCATCCTATTCAGAACTGTTGCCTTCTATGGAGGAGGATGGTGCTACAAAAGTGATGGAGGATTCCCCCCCAGTCTTTCTGTGTTGACAAAGACATATTTGCAAATATTTTTCTTGTGTGCAGAACTGCAAACATTTCCATAGTTTACTGTAAAAGCACATTAATATTTCGGAAGTTAAGACCAAAAACAATGCTGTATTTTTAACCCATTGACTCGTTAAACCTTTCCCTCTGTTAACTGTTTTTTTCCCTTATGCAAACTTTGAGACAACTGAGCTTATATCAGTAAACTGGGATGTTATAAATGCCACATAATCATTCTGTGTTAGTATAGCAGCATTTACCACATTAGAAAAATGTGAGAACCTGCCACCCACAAAAAAGGGTTGAAGCTTCCCTCAGAGCTTCCGGCTGAACATGACAGCCTTAAGAGGTACAGGCTTCTATTTCATTCTGCAAGAAATTAGTTTATACTCTGGCAAGTCTTTTCTTTGTGAAGAGAAGCGTTTGATATCTTTGACTTCAAGGATCCCCTTCATAAGGGCTTTGGGCCAAAGAATTCAGAGCAGAAGGTATCGGGCGAGTGGGGGGGAGGCCTGTGGAAAGGATTATATATTGTTTGCTGGTAACAGCAGAGAACTGTATTCAGTGACCTAGCAGGTCCCTTTCAATCCTATTTTCCTTAATCTCCCTCCAGGCCTCAGCTGGCTAGGAATCTGTGTGGCTTTCAAAATATGGGATGACAAAGTCCTGATTGACTCTGCTTCTGCCACCAGTTTTTAAAAGGTCTAAGATTTCTATATCCAAAAGTGCATTCATCTCCTTACTGTGTGTACAAAATTTACCATAGATAGATGAATGGGAGCTGTGAAAATTCAGCTGATGAGATCAGGCTCTGGGTGTTCTCAGCTGTAAGTGTCACATAGGAAATTCAGAATTATCACAGGTACCGGATATTCTGTTTTAACATAATTTGATACTTTTCACTAGTGGTTCTCAACCTTTTTAGAATCCAGGCACCCCTCCATAACTTTTCTGAATTTAGTAGCTCCCCATTTCAAAAACTAATTTCACTCATTTTTTATTATGGAAAAATAAAAGAGCAATTCTTCTGTGGCAATGAACTCAGAAAGATCACAGGTCAGAATGTTTTTGATACTCTGGATTTCTATTTCAAATCTCTGGATTTATTTTGTGAATTGTTTAGGTGTTTGTACACTTAAGAGTGGTAATACTGTGCCACCATTAAAAGGATCTCATAGCACCACAGTTGAAAGTCACTGCTTTAAAGTTGAGTGTGATCTTTTAATTCTATATACAATAGTGATTTTTTTGTGCGTTTCCACTCTGGTTATAAAATATATCGTATAAGCTATTTTTCTTCTAAAGCAATTTACTAGGACAATAGCATGAAAATGTTGTTCAGAATTAAGTTTTAGATTTTCTTTTAGTAAGAAATAAATTAATAGCCTTTATAAATGCAGTAAGAGATTTAGAGAAAATCTAAATGGGAATGCTTTGAGGGTCAGTAAATACTTGCTTGTTTCCAGTTCTGATCTGTGTCACAGGGTTTTCCTAGCAAATCCAAAGCAATCAGCTCCTTAGCTTCCTCTTTTTTTCCTTCACGCCATTGTCTCCAAACACTCATCTTTCTAACCAGTCTTAGGAAAGGAGCATTATTCTTGCTGATTCTCTCTTCCTCGACTTGCTCACTCACCAGTTTGTATTTTGCAGGTTTTTGCGTCTTGAGCTTTTGAGGTTTTGTTCCAAAAAAATTCTTGAAGCACCAGCAACCACTAGAACTAGCATCCGTCTTAGTTTCCACCTTTGCTGTTGGCATGTGAGGCTTGATATTTAGGAAAATTTTGAACCTGACAGGCAGCGTCACGCAGCTTTTTTGTAACTGGGGCAGTTTTTGTGACAGCTCTTTCATGCTTTTAAAA